TCTGAAGCTCTGTGAACAGTCTCTGCGACATAGCCCCTCTGTTTCAGCCAACCCCTTGTTAGGAGGATCCTGAGGGCCCCGAATAGGTGACAGTTTGCAGCGAAGTAATACAGGGCCACTAGGATCTCCGGCTCACCTCCGCCTTCAGGTGTTTTGGTGAGAACCAACTGTTGTTAAGACACCTTGCGTGAGCCAGGGTCACCTACCAGGGTTTTTTTTACACACACTTGACTCGAGTTCTAACTCTTTCGCACTCCTTTCAAAACTCAAAGGAGAAAATATGTGTGAGCCAGGGGCGGACTGACCATTCAAGCACTCAGGCACTGCCCGAGGGCCCAGGATCAGTAGGGGGCCCCATGAAATGCCCCTGGTACCCTCTTTTATAGGCTTTTTTGGGTGTGCTTTGAGTGTGGGTAAGGACACAGGGGCCCCATGATCCCCTATTGCCTCATGAGTTGTCAGTCCGCCCCTGGTGTGAGCATACACTTTAACAGACCAAAAGTGAGCAAATAAAAGACGTTCTTTGCTAGGGTTTACATACACTTTAAATGTTCCCTCATCCCCATCAGAAAGAATGAACCACAAACACAGAACATTTTGGTTAAACAACATTTATTTTAATATTTATGTTGTGGGAATAGGAGGAGGGGGGAGGGGGAATTGAGGGTGGTAAAAAGGAGAGAGGGGGGGGGAATTTATCCTATTGCCCCTGGCCACACTCACCCCCTCCCTCCTCATGAGACATTGTGGGCGAACCGGGCAATCAGGCACGGGAGGAAAAGGGGACCAGGGTGGAGACGTCTCTGCGGGGTATGTGCCTTATTGCCCTAGCTGGTCGCAGCTACGTCATGGCTGGTCCCATGCAGGGATTGGTTAGAAGGGGCAAGGGACAAAATGGCGCCTCTCTTGCTATTACAGTCATGGAGCGGTGTAGGGGTTTTGGGATTTGACACAGCTACTCCCACCAAGATACCCTTTTTGACCTCATCCAGTAGCAGCGGGGCAACGGCTATGACGCCCTTCCGTTGGATTATCTGCCAGTGGGGTATACCGAAGCAGAAACCAACGCCACCCTAAGTGCCACTTCCCTCTTAAGTGGCAAGAGGTGGCGGGGAATCAAATCTGCCCTTCGTTTCGCCTGCACTGATCCCCAAGTCACACACAGCCAGTTCACACTCTACCTCTCTCGGCCAGCTCCCTCTGCTATCCCTGCGCCTACTGGCGATTCTGCCTCCTGCAAGGCACGCCAGTGGATTACCACAGTCAAAGTGGGAGAACAAGGGGGCTGCAGAGTAGTTTTAGCCCACTTCTTTACACTACGTCCCTCCAGGAGTAGTGGAAGAAGGAAGGGCACCAATTTACCAACTCATATGACCCCTGCAAAAAAAAAAAAAACGGAGAATGCTTTGGAGTAATCTGGGAAAATATGGCAGCACAGATCATTTGTCTTTTGCTGGTGCCCCCATCCTTTAGGAAATCTATAAGAAGAGGAGACACACAGTATGGGCATACAGAGAGGGGGGGGGGAAGGGGAATACAGAGGATTTATATTTATATATATATATATATATCTTTTTTTTTTTTTTTTACACACATACATACTGTACACACGCACACACACCATCCTCCTCCATTAAATCCTCAACTGCCACTCTTGCTGAATTGACAAAAAATTATTAAAAAAACGGAAAACGGAAAAAAAAAAAAGACGGACTTGTTTCAGTAGGGGGTGAATAGAGACCAGTTCTGGGAAGGAATTGCCCCTCCCTCCCCCCTCGGGGGGGTTATAAACAGCACAGACACACAGCTTCACGGGAAACAAGGGGAACAAAAAAACCTGCACACGGACAAATTAAATATTATATATATGTGTGTGTATATAAGTTAAGGGGGGGGGCTCCTTCAGTCAGTGGGTATTTACAAGGGAGAGTAAGGAGGGAGAGAGCTTTTGCACAATTAATGGGGGCAGGGGTCCCCACTTCCCTATGTTAGAAAGGGGAGGGGGGAGAGGCAGGAGGGGGGAGTTTTATGTAGAAGTTTTTTTTTGTCTGGTCCCAGCTGGGGTAGATGACAGATCCGGCGAAGGGGGAGAAAAAGAGACAGAGAGACGGGGAGAGAGTGTGACTCTGTCCTTAGGTGCTGAAATAAACTGCGGGGGACAAAAAGCAAAAACATTGGGATGCAGAGGAGAGAGGAAACATTGGGGTGAAAGCATGAAAAGGACAAGTGACAGGAGACATAATGAGTCCAAGCGATAGAAAAAAATGTCAGACACAGGGATGAGTAAGACAAAATCAATGAGGGACAGGAAAAAGGGTCAGCAACAAAGACAAGGTGAAGAACAAAGAAAAGGAGAAAGATATGGAACAGGCATAATGAAGACAAGAAAAAGACAAATAGGATCAGAGGTGAGGGAAAAAAGAACAGGGTGCGGGTAAGAGCAAACACAAAGATACAAGATGAACGGGAACACAGAGTAAAGATGAGGTGAAGACCAAAGTAACGAGAAATGGCAAAGAACAATCGGGGACATGGGAAAGATAAAATAAAGCCAAGGATGAGTGTAAACAACAGACAAGATAAAGCACAGAGGAAGGCACAAAATTAACAGAAAGAAATATAAATAGACAATATCGAGGAAAGTAAAAGACCCAGGATGAGCAGGAAAATATACATGAAGACCAGGCAAGATGGAAGACAGAAGAAGACCCAAGATGAGCAGGAACAAACATGAAGAACAGGCAAAATGAAGGATAGAAGAATACCCAAGATGAGCAGGAAAAAATACATGAAGAACAGGCAAGATGGAGGATAGAAGAATATCCAGGATGAGCAGAAAAAATATAAAGAACAGACAAGATGGAGGACAGAAGACCCAGGATGAGCAGGAAAAAATTACACGAAGAACAGACAAAATGGAGGACAGAAGAAGACCCAAGATGAGCAGGAACAAACATGAAGAACAGACAAGATGGAGGACAGAAGAAGACCCAAGATGAGCAGGAACAAACATGAAGAACAGACAAGATGGAGGACAAAAGAATACCCAAGATGAGCAGGAACAAACATGAAGAACAGACAAGATGGAGGACAGAAGAAGACCCAAGATGAGAAGGAACAAACATGAAGAACAGAGAAGATGGAGGACAGAAGAAGACCCAAGATGAGCAGGAACAAACATGAAGAACAGACAAGATGGAGGGCAGAAGAAGACCCAAGATGAGCAGGAACAAACATGAAGAACAGACAAAATGGAGGGACAGAAGAAGACCCAAGATGAGCAGGAACAAAGAAGAACAGACAAGATGGAGGACAAAAGAATACCCAAGATGAGCAGGAACAAACATGAAGAACAGACAAGATGGAGGACAGAAGAAGACCCAAGATGAGCAGGAACAAACATGAAGAACAGACAAGATGGAGGACAAAAGAATACCCAAGATGAGCAGGAACAAACATGAAGAACAGACAAGATGGAGGACAGAAGAAGACCCAAGATGAGAAGGAACAAACATGAAGAACAGAGAAGATGGAGGACAGAAGAAGACCCAAGATGAGCAGGAACAAACATGAAGAACAGACAAGATGGAGGGCAGAAGAAGACCCAAGATGAGCAGGAACAAACATGAAGAACAGACAAAATGGAGGACAGAAGAAGACCCAAGATGAGCAGGAACAAACATGAAGAACAGACAAGATGGAGGACAAAAGAATACCCAAGATGAGCAGGAACAAACATGAAGAACAGACAAGATGGAGGACAGAAGAAGACCCAAGATGAGCAGGAACAAACATGAAGAACAGACAAGATGGAGGGCAGAAGAAGACCCAAGATGAGCAGGAACAAACATGAAGAACAGACAAGATGGAAGACAGAAGAAGACCCAAGATGAGCAGGAACAAACATGAAGAACAGACAAGATGGAGGACAGAAGAAGACCCAAGATGAGCAGGAACAAACATGAAGAACAGACAAGATGGAGGGCAGAAGAAGACCCAAGATGAGCAGGAACAAACATGAAGAACATACAAGATGGAGGATAGAAGAATACCCAAGATGAGCAGGAACAAACATGAAGAACAGGCAAGATGGAGGATAGAAAAATACCCAGGATGAGCAGAAATAATACAAAGAACAGACAAGATGGAGCACAGAAGATCCAGGATGAGCAGGAAAAAATTACATGAAGAACACACAAGATGGAGGACAGAAGAAGGCCCAAGATGAGCAGGAACAAACATGAAGAACACGCAAGATGGAGGATAGAATACCCAGGATGAGCAGGAAAAAAAATATATAGAACAGATAAGATGAAGGACAAAGGAAGACCCAGGAGCAGGAACAAGGTTGAAAAACAAACAAGATTGTTGTTTAGAAGACAAAGGGGAGATACATGACCATCAGGGATGAGGATGAGGTATAAACATGATCACAGAGAATCATGAATTACAGACAAACCCAGGTGGAGCAAAAACAATGTTGGAAAAACAAAAAAGATTGAGGATTTGGAGACAAAGAAAAGCAAGATGGTTAGGGACCAGAGTGAGAAATGAAGAGGATTTAGGACAAATATGAATAATAGAGAAGGTAGAAGGCAAGTGGAAGACCCAGGATCAGTAGGAAAGAGACAGAACAAAACAAAAGAAATGACACAAGGAAAACCAAGGATTAGCAAGAATAAAGGTGAAGAACAGACAGGATGGAGTAAAGGAGGACAAGGGATGAGGTGAAGAACCATCAAGATGCAGTCATGAAAGACAAGGGATGAAGATAAAGAAAAGACAAGATACAGCAATGAAGGGCAGGTAACGAGAGTAAAGAACAAACAGGATGGAGTAAAGGAGGACAAGGGATGAGGTAAAGAACCATCAAGATGCAGTCATGAAAGACAAGGGATGAAGATAAAGAAAAGACAAGATGAAGAAATGAAAGGCAAGTAACAAGAGTAAAGAACAAACAGGATGGAGTAAAGGAGGACAAGGGATGAGGTGAAGAACCATCAAGATGCAGTCATGAAAGACAAGGGATGAAGATAAAGAAAAGACAAGATACAGCAATGAAGGGCAGGTAACGAGAGTAAAGAACAAACAGGATGGAGTAAAGGAGGACAAGGGATGAGGTAAAGAACCATCAAGATGCAGTCATGAAAGACAAGGGATGAAGATAAAGAAAAGACAAGATGAAGAAATGAAAGGCAGGTAACGAGAGTAAAGAACAAACAGGATGGAGTAGTGGAAAACAAGGGATGAGGATGAAGAGCAGACAAGATGAAGTGTGAAGAGAAAACCAGTAAAATGTAAAAAACAAGACAAAGATGGAGGACGAGGTGTGTGGTACATACAGTAGACACAAGGATGGGATGGGCACAGCAGGGAAGCATTGGGAGAGAGAAGCAAGAGAAAAAGAAGAGGTTAGTATAGTCAGCCATCTGTATACAGCACAGATAACAAGCAGCACATATATATATATATATATAGATATAAAAAAAACACAGACTAAAAACATTGATACACAAAAGGACAATAACTCACCAATAATTATGATGAGGATGATGGCGCATATCACTCCCATAATGATCATCATCTGAGGAGAGAAAAACACAAAGAGTGAGATGGAGAACACAGAGATGGTGTAATGATATGTCACATTAAGTCACATTATGCAGAACACCGCCTACTATGAACTATTCTAACCAGGGGCCGACTGACAACTCATGGGGCCCCCAGGCAATAGGAGATCATGGGGCCCCTGTGTCCTTGGTCAAACTCACAAAAACTATGAAAAAGGTACCAGGGGCATCTCATGAGGCCCCCTACTGACCCCGGGCCCTCAGGCAGTGCCAGAGTTTCCAACTGGTCAGTCTGCTCCTGATTCTGACTAACGCAGGACCTTCATAAACTGACAAGAGTTATGGTATGTTTAATTTCAAACAACTTCATCTCAGATTACTGGGCAGTAGGAATCCAAAGTATCTCTAAACCGAAGAAATGTGAAGTTTTTCCAAACTGCGGATACAGTATGCAAGTGTGTGTGATCTGAGGGAAAACAATTGGAAGAAACTGACAATGATATCGCCTTGATAATAGGCAACTATAAAGCCAAAGAGTTCTACTTAGGAAGAACAGTCAAGGCAAACACAACAGAATTCTCCAACAAGTTAAGTTTGTATGTTGTTATGTACTATACTAAGTAGCCATGTGCACGTCAGGAATTTTCGTCTAGTTTCAGATGCATTCATTCATTGAAGAATTTTGTTTTGTCATATGTTGAACCAATTCATTTTCAGAATTCTTTCGGATCTTCGGCATTTGTTTCGTATATGTTTTAGCCCAGGTGGATTCGAAAAAATGTAGTTTTTCCTGGAAAATTGCTAGATATTCGATATATTATCGAATCTGGTGAATTTGAATCGGAAGAATTCAATATTTTCAGACACTAGCCCAACCCACCAAGAGAAACGGCATGAACTGATTGGACATTATGAAACTGGCATCATGTGCATCCAAATTAACGTATGCAATGAAATTCAGAACTAATTTGAAAATGTTATCAATTTCCCTACTGTCACATCATGTGAAGTCATCTGAATGAAATAAATGCATTCGTTAATTTCGGTACAACTTTTTTTTTGGATACGCTGACATTCGTCAGTATGTCCATTCGGAGATTCATATACATTCGAATCTCTGAAAATGAAATTTTCATCCGAAAAATGAATCATAACTAAGCGAAATGCTTATATCTAATACTAAGTGAGATATGAGAAACACACAAGATGAAGGTTAGAAAAAATACCCTGGATTATCAGAAAGAAACATAAAAAAAATAGATGAAGGACAGGAGAGAAACCCAGGATGAGCTTGAACAAATATGAAGAACAGACAAAATAGAGGACCACAGAAGGCCCAGGAGAAGCGGGAACCAGGTTGGAAAAAAAAAGAAGTTGAGGTGTTGAGGTATGGAAGACAAAGGGGAGATACAGGACAATCAGGGATTAGGGTGAAGAATGAACAAAATCCAAGAAAAGTGTGAAAAATTAGAAGACAAGCAGAAGATCCAGGATGAAAAAAAGAGAAAAAACAGAGGGAGGAATCCTCTACTTAATCTTTTTTTTGTATAGCCATTCTTTCCTATGGGAGGTGAATGGGGTTAGAATTCTGTATTGCTCTTAAACATGTAGACACACCATCTCTTCAATGTCTTGCCATGATTCACAGATGAGGGTATCAACGCAGGGGCGGACTGACAACTCATGGGGCTCCCGGGCCCTCAATAGGGGATCATGGGGCCCCTGTGTCCTTGCCCAAACTCAAAAAAGCCTATGAAAAAGGTTCCAGGGGCATCTCATGGGGCCCCCTACTGACCCAGGGCCCTCGGGCAGTGCCAGAGTTTCCAAATGGTCAGTCCGCCCCTGTATCAATGCTTCCTCTTCCGGTGTGACCACTTGTTGGCTCCACACTTCTTCATCACCCCTCACTGCTCCTCTTTCTTGTCTCAAAACATGGTCTAGCTCTTGGGCTGATGTTCTAATAATGTGATTGGTATAAAAGAAACATTTGGGATGCTCACCAACTCTTCCACTACACTTTCCCGCTTACAGTACTCAAATGGCTTTTCATAGAGTTGGTACATGTATAGAGAACATGTATAGAGAACATGTACAGAGAACATGTATAGAGAACATGTATAGAGAACATGTACAGAGAACGTGAGGTGCTCTAAATACTGCAGCCAGGGGCTAATTCCATGGTACAGCATGGCAAGGCTCACTAGAATGCTGATTTTTTTTTTCTGAACATTTCAAGTCAGGAGTATCTCAGATGCTTCTTGAGGAACACATCAAGCGTTACTGTGCTTCCCCAGGCAGGGAAATATTGCTTCACTGTCACATGGTAGGCCCAATTCAATCCATGCAACTGCCCAGTCTTCCACGGGACTGTTGCTAAGTGGTCCTCAGGCAGAAAGTCCATACGCTCTTTTAAAGACCCTTCCCAAACTCACCTTGAGGTTCTTCCACCAGTACTTGCGTTTGAGTTTGGCCGCGCTGGTTTCAAACTGCGAGGCTCCGGCCTGCAGAGCGTCCGCGCGGTCATCCAATTCGGACAGCTTCTGATCTCGTTCCAACACTTTGTCTACATTGACACGCATGATATCCACAACCTGTGGGGCAGGAAGAAGAGACACTGAAGATACACAGACTTACTATCACATTACTATACTGGCTTTATGTCTTGTGTTCTTCTGTACTCACCTCATCGACCTGTGCCTGGGTTTGCTGAAGCCTTCTGTTGCTGGTGAGGTTGGGGGGAGCTTGGGGTGCTCCTCCTTCTCCAGGTGCAGCGGGAGGGCCAGCAGGTGGGGCAGACCTGAAAGATAGATGGTACTGATCAGAATCCATAGGGACCAGTTTTTTCTGGCTCCAAGCTAAACTAATGCTCATGCACTTAAATGGGAGGAACATGTAAGATAAACACTCAACACTCCACCCAAAATTACTGTTGCTTCACCTGAAATACTTTCCTAACACAAGTACAGAGATAAGGAATGCTGGCACTTTTTCCATGGTTACCAACTGTCCCTTTTTTGGAGGAACATTGTTCTTGGAACCAAATCCTTCGGTCCTTCTTTTCTCCCTCACTGAATCACTAAATAAACCTTCTTAACCAAGGTTCCTTCAAAGTGTGCTAGGGGTTCCTTGAGCAATATGTTCCTCTCCAATGATCTTTTAAGCTATCTGTAAGCAGGGACATACTTCCCATTGACCACCAATGTATGGGAGCACTACACTGACCATCAATGTAAGAGAGCACTACACTGACCACCAATGTAAGAGACAACTACACTGACCACCAATGTAAGAGAGCACTACACTGACCACCAATGTAAGGGAGCACTACACTGACCATCAATGTAAGAGAGCACTACACTGACCACCAATGTAAGAGAGCACTACACTGACCACCAATGTAAGGAGGGCACTACACTGACCATCAATGTAAGAGAGCACTACACTGACCACCAATGTAAGAGAGCACTACACTGACCACCAATGTAAGAGAGCACTACACTGACCACCAATGTAGGAGAGCACTACACTGACCACCAATGTAAGAGAGCACTACACTGACCATCAATGTAAGAGAGCACTACACTGACCACCAATGTAAGAGAGCACTACACTGACCACCAATGTAAGAGACAACTACACTGACCCCCAATGTATGAGGGCAGCACTACACTGACCACCAATGTAAGAGAGCACTACACTGACCCCAATGTAAGAGAGCACTACACTGACCACCAATGTAAAGAGAGCACTACACTGACCACCAATGTAAGAGAGCACTACACTGACCACCAATGTAAGAGACAACTACACTGACCACCAATGTAAGAGAGCACTACACTGACCACCAATGTAAGAGACAACTACACTGACCACCAATGTAAGAGACAACTACACTGACCACCATGTAAGAGAGCACTACACTGACCACCAATGTAAGAGAGCAACTACACTGACCACCATGTAAGAGAGCACTACACTGACCACCAATGTAAGAGAGCACTACACTGACCACCAATGTAAGAGACACTACACTGACCACCAATGTAAGAGAACTACACTGACCACCAATGTAAGAGAGCACTACACTGACCACCAATGTAAGAGACAACTACACTGACCACCAATGTAAGAGAGCACTACACTGACCACCAATGTAAGAGACAACTACACTGACCACCAATGTAAGAGAGCACTACACTGACCACCAATGTAAGAGAGCACTACACTGACCACCAATGTAAGAGACAACTACACTGACCACCAATGTAAGAGAGCACTACACTGACCACCAATGTAAGAGACAACTACACTGACCACCAATGTAAGAGACACTACACTGACCACCAATGTAAGAGAGCACTACACTGACCACCAATGTAAGAGACAACTACACTGACCACCAATGTAAGAGAGCACTACACTGACCACCAATGTAAGGAGAGCACTACACTGACCACCAATGTAAAGAGACACTACACTGACCACCAATGTAAGAGAGAACTACACTGACCACCAATGTAAGAGACAACTACACTGACCACCAATGTAAGGAGAGCAACTACACTGACCACCAATGTAGGAGAGCACTACACTGACCACAATGTAAGAGACAACTACACTGACCACCAATGTAGGAGAGCACTACACTGACCACCAATGTAAGAGACAACTACACTGACCACCAATGTAAGAGGGCACTACACTGAACGCCAATGTAAGAGAGCACTACACTGACCACCACTGTAAGAGATCACTACACTGACCACCAATGTAAGAGACAACTACACTGACCACCAATGTAAGAGAGCACTACACTGACCACCAATGTAAGAGACAACTACACTGACCACCAATGTAAGAGAGCACTACACTGACCACCACTGTAAGAGACAACTACACTGACCACCAATGTAAGAGACAACTACACTGACCACCAATGTAAGAGACAACTACACTGACTACCACTGTAAGAGAGCACTACACTGACCACCAATGTAAGAGAGCACTACACTGACCACCAATGTAAGAGACAACTACACTGACCACCAATGTAAGAGAGCACTACACTGACCACCAATGTAAGAGATAACTACACTGACCACCAATGTAACAGAGTACTACACTGACCACCAATGTAAGAGAGCACTACACTGACCACCAATGTAAGAGAGCACTACACTGACCACCAATGTAAGAGGGCACTACACTGACCACCAATGTAAGAGAGCACTACACTGACCACCAATGTAAGAGGGCAGCACTACACTGACCACCACTGTAAGAGATCACTACACTGACCACCAATGTAAGAGACAACTACACTGACCACCAATGTAAGAGAGAGCACTACACTGACCACCAATGTAAGAGACAACTACACTGACCACCAATGTAAGAGAGCACTACACTGACCACCACTGTAAGAGACAACTACACTGACCACCAATGTAAGAGACAACTACACTGACCACCAATGTAAGAGACAACTACACTGACTACCACTGTAAGAGAGCACTACACTGACCACCAATGTAAGAGAGCACTACACTGACCACCAATGTAAGAGACAACTACACTGACCACCAATGTAAGAGAGCACTACACTGACCACCAATGTAAGAGATAACTACACTGACCACCAATGTAACAGAGTACTACACTGACCACCAATGTAAAGAGAGCACTACACTGACCACCAATGTAAGAGAGCACTACACTGACCACCAATGTAAGAGGGCACTACACTGACCACCAATGTAAGAGAGAGCACTACACTGACCACCAATGTAAGAGAGCACTACACTGACCACCAATGTAAGAGGGCACTACATTGACCACCAATGTAAGAGAGCACTACACTGACCACCAATGTAAGAGAGCACTACGCTGACCACCAATGTAAGAGATCACTACGCTGACCACCAATGTAAGAGAGCACTACACCGACCACCAATGTAAGAGAGCACTACGCTGACCACCAATGTAAGAGAGCACTACACTGACCACCAATGTAAGAGACAACTACACTGACCATCAATGTATGGGAGCACTACACTGACCGCCAATGTAAGAGAGCACTACACTGACCACCAATGTAAGAGAGCACTACACTGACCACCAATGTAAGAGAGCACTACACTGACCACCAATGTAAGAGAGCACTACACTGACCACCAATGTAAGAGAGCACTACACTGACCACCAATGTAAGGGAGCACTACACTGACCACCAATGTATGGGAGCACTACGCTGACCACCAATCAATGTAAGAGAGCACTACACTGACCACCAATGTAAGAGAGCACTACGCTGACCACCAATGTAAGAGAGCACTACACCAATGACCACCAATGTAAGAGAGCACTACACTGACCACCAATGCAAGAGAGCACTACACTGACCACCAATGTAAGAGAGCACTACACTGACCACCAATGTAAGGAGCACTACACTGACCACCAATGTAAGAGAGCACTACACTGACCACCAATGTAAGAGAGTACACACTGACCACCAATGTAAGAGAGCACTACACTGTGACCGCCAATGTAAGAGAGCACTACACTGACCGCCAATGTAAGAGACAGCACACTGACCACCAATGTAAGGAGAGCACTACACTGACCACCAATGTAAGAGACTAACTACACTGGACCACCAATGTAAGAGAGCACTACACTGACCACCAATGTAAGAGAGCACTACACTGACCACCAATGTAAGAGAGCACTACACTGACCACCAATGTAAGGAGGGGCACTACATTGACCCCAATGTAAGGAGAGCACTGACCACCAATGTGGTCACCACCAATGTAAGAGAGCACTACGCTGACCACCAATGTAAGAGAGCACTACACTGACCACCAATGTAAGAGAGAGCAATACACTGACCACCAATGTAAGAGAGCACTACTGACCCACCAATGTAAGAGAGCACTACACTGACCACCAATGTAAGAGAGCACTACACTGACCACCAATGTAAGGGGCACACAGACCACCAATGTAAGGAGAGCACTACACTGACCACCAATGTAAGGAGAGCACTACACTGACCACCAATGTAAGAGAGCACTACACTGACCACCAATGTAAGAGAGCACGACTGACACCAATGTAAGAGAGCCACACTGACCACCAATGTAAGAGAGCACTACACTGACCACCAATGTAAGAGAGCACTACACTGACCACCAATGTAAGAGAGCACTACACTGACCACCAATGTAAGAGAGCACTACACTGACCACCAATGTAAGAGAGCACTACACTGACCCCCAATGTAAGAGAGCACTACACTGACCCAATGTAAGAGAGCACTACACTGACACTGACCGACCCAATGTAAGAGACAAATACACTGGACCACCAATGAGAGCACCAATGACCACCAATGTGGGAGCACTACACTGACCACCAATGTAAGAGAGCAACTACACTGACCACCAATGTAATGGGAGCACTACACTGACCGCCAATGTAAGAGACAACTACACTGGCCACCAATGCAAGAGAGCCACCAATGTAAGAGAGCACTACACTGACCACCAATGCAAGAGAGCACTACACTGACCACCAATGTAAGAGAGCACTACACTACCACCAATGTAAGAGAGCACTACACTGATCACCAATGTAAGGGAGCACTACATTGACCCCATGTAAGGGAGCACTACATTGGTGGTCGGTGTCTTGTTCTCTTACGCTGGTCTCTTAGTCCGTAGGGTTCAATGTAAGAGACCAATACAATGACTGCCAATGTAGAGAGAGCACTACACCGACCACCAATGTAAGGAGCACTACACTGACCATCAATGTAAGGG